AAAAAAAAAAAAAAAAAAAAAAAAAAACGTAAAGCAAATAAAAAGGATAAATAAATAATAAAATAAATTAGAAATTATATTATTTATTCAATTAAACCTTCTTTAGTTTTTACATGTTTAAAAATACTAATTCATTAATAATTCTGTTAGTACGGATGGTTAATATTTAAATGATTGTTCTAGTTTTTATATATTTAAATATGTATTCTTTTGGTAATTTATAAGTTTAATTATTATTCAATATTTTAATTATATTTTAATTCTTAACTTTTAGTTTGTTTAATTATTAGCTCAATATTTTATTTTATTTTTTTTTTTATCATAATCTATAAATTCGATATTTCATTTATATTTTCATATATTTATAATTTTAATATTATGTTTCTGTATTTAATCGTTTTCTCCTTTATTATTCCATTTATATATTTAAATTCATATTTACTACTTTTGAATTTTAAGAGGTAATGTATATTTTAAGAAATTTTAATTTGTATATTAATTCATAATTAATAAAAATAGTACTACATAAGAAGAATAAAGAAAAAAAAAAAAAAAATATATTAACAAACACTTATGTGCTAAAATAAATTCTTATCAAAAAGTTATTATTTTTCATATTAGGTTAAATTTAAAATTAATGAAAAAACAGTACATATATTATGTATACAAAAAAATATATTTAATTGAATTATATTAGTAAAATAATCAAAACTTAAAAAAAATTAAAAATATCAAAAAGAGAAATTTTATATTATATTATCCACTTATATATAAATAAAAAAGAAAATTATATATTAAAATAAACAAACATTTTTTTCTATTACTTTCAAATGTATTTTATAGCTCATTCATATGAATTTTGTTAAGATTACATTACCATGATAGAAGAATAAAAATTAACATTTCATTTTTATTAACATGTTAATAAAAAATGTTAAGAAACTTTCCTTTTTACATTAAAAAAAAAAAAAATTAAAGTAAAAATTATATTTAGAAAAATACAAAATAAATTTTGACAAAATTTTCTTTTTTATTTCTTATATAAAAGCATTAATTTTCTTAAAATTATATAAAATTATAGAAAGAATTAAACAACTATAAATAATTTTGAAATAAATATATATGTATTATATAAGAAACATTATATATTTTTATAGAAAACAAAATCTGTATAATATTATATCAAAATTTAAAACTAAAAGTTATAAGAATGTGTATAATCTTAACACAAAAAAAAAAAAAAAAAAAAAAAAAAATATAAAAAAGCAAGAAATAATAAATAGTTTAAAAAATATGAAAATTTTGATATTCTTTAAATTTCATATTTTATAAATGTAAAATAATTAAAGATATCTAAAAAGTAATTGTTTTGTTATTGGATATTTTATTCAACAAAATCAAAACTTTTATTTTCCTCTATAAAAAAAAAAAAAAAAGCAAAAAAGTTCATAAAAAAAAATTAAATATACAATAGAAATTAATTTACTTTGTTGTTTTATTAATTTCTATATTAATTTTATTATTCAAACCTTCATTCCTCAGATTCTTGAAATATTCTTTTGCCTCTGTAATATTTTCTCTAAATTTTTTGTATCTATAAAGAAAAAATATACAAATATATATATAGAGATTTGATTAAGATTATTTTTTATATTACAAAATAATAATATCATATTTTACTTAATGTGATATGCAAAATTAACAAATATCAAACATTAATGTCATAATGTAAATATATAACCTTGAATAATGAAGATATTCATAATCAGGGTGTAGACTATTTTTATAAACCTTTTTTTTACAAGCTATAATGAAAAGAAAAAAAAAAATTCTACATTCATTTATACAAAAATAAATAAAAAAAAAAAAAGAACCTGCTATTGGACATTCAATTGTATCTTTATTCTGCCTAAAAAGGTAAAAAAAAAAAAAATTATATTTCGTAAAAATTCACTATTTTTTTTTTTTTTTTTTTTTTTTTTTGTCTTATTATAAATTTTATTTACATTAATTTATGTATAAAAGATTTTTCAAATGTGTGTACACAAGCTTTCCTATTTTTGCTAAATCTAAAATTACATGAATTAAATTAAATTTCATTATTTATTTGATTCTCAATTAACAATTTTAAATGATATCATATATAACACTAATACCTTTGAGTAACAGGTGTTTCAAATGGCATTTGTGATATGGGGCATCTTGAAGGAAATACTCCAACTTCTTCATCAACTAATAATTCATCTTCATCGTTTTCTTTTTGATGTTTTAAATGGAACTGTTAAATTAAAAGAAGAAAAAAAAAAAAAATAATAAATAAATAGATAAATATATAAAATAAATATATCTGTAATGAATTCAAACTTATATATATATATATATTTTTTTATTAATACTCTAGCTAATCTTGCAATATCTTTTTCGTCATTTTGATTTCCTAAATTATAAATAAAAAATTTTCATATGAAACAAAAAGAAAATTATGTTGTATTATAATTAAAAATAGTATAATATTAAACTTCTATTTTAATGTGTTCAAATAATTATTTTAAAAAAAAAAATATCCCAGATGTATTTATTTACTGATATTTGTTAAGAATATAAATATAAAATTTTAGTTGATATAAACAAAACTACAATTTTTACCTTCTAGTTTTAATTTTACAAATTTATTTACTAATTTTAAAAAATCTGTATCTATATTAATTTCATCTAATAAGTTGTATAATATAAAAGTAAAATAAATATTTTAAATAAAAAATAAAATATTAATTTTTATAATTCTTAAAAGATTTTAACCTGAACCTAAATAAATAATAAAATATTTATGTGTATGGTAAAAATTTATAATTGCATACAATATTTTTATTTATAATTAGAAAAAAAATGAATATATTTACACTTTTAATACAATATTATGAAAAACTTACGAAAATATTTTATGGAAAATAAAATATTATATAAACTTTTTTGTAAGTTGTAGTGATACTTTTGAATTTCATTAGAAGGTGTATATTCTTCTTCAAATTTATCTAAATCGTTCCATATATCTTTGAAAAAAGGGATCTAATTATAAATGAAGACAAATTTAAAGATGTGTATTTTCTTTGAATCAAAATTGTTTTTCATAATATAACATACCTGTTCGGTTAATTCATCTTCATTACCTTTTAGTATCTAAAATAAATTTTTCATATATTATTAATAATAAATGAACATATCTTTTTAATTATTAAAATTGAAATTATTTATTAGGTATTTTTCTTTTTTTTTTTTTTTATGTATTAGAAAATACCTTCTCAACTGAATCCTTTTTTTTTTGCATTACAATCAGAAGTAATTTTAAGAATTATTTATACTAACGCATTAATAAAAATGTTATATTTAATAAAATACAACTTAAAATTATACATATATTTTTTTTTTTTTAATTCATAAACTTCATATCTTCTTTTTTTGTTAAAAAATTATATAAATTGCTATATTTATTTTCAAAATAAATTTAAAAAACAATTGATCTTTTTTAAAAATTTTTTACAGTAATATTTTTTTATAATTTTCCTAGAAATATTTTTTCCTTTCATAAACTTGAAATAAATTTTTTTTTTATATGGAAATTTTATGAAGAAATAATTACTTTATGAGCATATTTAAAAAAAAGAAAATAAAAAGTAAAAAAATAAGTTTTAACTTTTTTATAGTAAGGTCTTATTTTTTATTTATTTCAACTTTATTAATATTTTTAATTCAGATTGGTCTCATGATAACATTAATAAATTATTTGTATAAATTTATTTATAAAATTTTCATGTAAATATAATGATTTACATTGAACAAGAAATTACAAATAATTTTTTAAAATTATATTAAAAAGATAGGAAGAAATATAACATAAAAAAATGATGTTCTTATAATTTATATATATATTATACTAATACAAATATATTCTTAAGTAGTCTT